TCAGTTATCAAGGACGGTAGAGGCGAGAGGGGAATATGGCGCGGCTAGTGATAGTCGATGCTCCAGTCGTGGTGAGGTGAGGACAAAGGTCAAATGGAATATGGTAGAGATGGGCAGATTAAAATGACTNTACAAACTGAGCTTTAATCGATCAGTCAGATATCGCCCAATATATTTAATCACCCGTTGCGATATATATAATACCTATATTTGGTAGTAGGTGGCCTTCCCGTCGTCGGGTTCAATACCACGTCTAACTTAGCGTGGTCCGCCACTTCAAATCCCAAGGCTTAAGTTAATGGTTTCCATCACTGAACACCAGATCTTCTTGACCATGGAGCTTCCTCCGCCTGCTGTTCATCACATTAAGGGATGCAGTAAAAAAACTCGAGACATATCCGGAGTTGACACAATATGTGTTCATGTCAGACTGAAAGACGGTATCAGTCAAAGCATCATTCCTCTTAGTAGAGCATACTTCGTTAGCGACTAAACCGTCAGATAAGTGCACCAGGACAAAACAGATAGCTGATGCTTACACTAGGTTTGTCATCCAATGCATCCTTGATCCGATCAATCCATTGAGCCACATACTTGAATTTTCCATTTCGAATCCACGAGTTGTGATCTGGTAAAGTCACCAAAGCAAGCACAGCGCCCAGATCGGCTAGCGTCACGTGACTGGTGTGGGCCAAGTACATACATGATGCGGAATGCAGTCTAGCACTGAGCATTTCTCGGAAGCAAGTGGAGCTGCGCTCGAAGTGCGCAGTTTGACGCAACTGCGGCGCATGCAAGTGGATGCTCCAAGATAACCATTGCTTTACCTGAGCACGATGTGCCGTCTACAAATTATTACGTAAAGAGAGAACATAACTGTTTCACACGGCAACAACAGAAAAACAGTCCTTGAGCTTACATGGAAATGTCGTTCAGTCATTCCGATTCTACTGATTACAAATTGAACATATAACAGCCTTTGTATCGAGTTTGTTACAAATGATAGAATCGCAATCATACCTCAAAGAGAGATTGTCCATGAGTAACTTCCAAAGAAAGCTAATTCATCAAATCAAAGGATTGTAGCTAGTTAATGAATGAACTTGCTCAAAATACATGATTCACCGGTGTCCAACTTTACGGTTATTGTAAGGTTAATAAAAATAATGAAGCACATGGGCTAAACACTATGTTAAAGGATAAGAATAAGTATATGAATTGCGCATTACGATTTGCTGGTGATACTGATAATGCATTATACGTGCCACATATGTCGGTTTACCTGAGGCCCACCCATCAGTTCTTGGTTTGCGATGCACTCGATGATAGCCTGTAAGTCGGTAACTTCTTTGGGAGTGGCATGACCAGTTAGTTCACTGATTATGGGGATCAAAGGATGCATGGTATCCTTGTCCGTTCGCGACTCGTCCTTTTGGATGGTCTGGGCATCAACTGAATGTTCCATATCTTGCAAACTGCTCAGCATTTCACGTAAGCTTTCACATTCCGCTTCGATTTCGTGAATCTGTGAAAAAGAACTAAGATAGTAAGGTAAAGCAAATACAAGACAACGGCATTACAGAGAAGGTTAGTGAGTCGAGTCACCCACTGTAAAACATCAAATGAAGAGCAGAAGCTTCTTCATGAATAAGAAAAAAATTTGTGCTCCCAAGTTTGGAGACTATCAATTTCTCCGGCGATTACATTCAGCTTGAATGCAGATAACTAATTTAAACGAATTCGCCGTTCACAGAACATGGGACTGAATTATTTGACTAACATTGGCTGGGGGATAAACCCTAACCGACGCCAATCGAAACTAAGATTTACATAAGCGAATGTGGTTATTGGGGAGCTGATTACGATCCACTACAGATGTATTTCAATATTCAGGTCGTTTAACGACATTTCGCTAAATTCTGTACTTCATTTGTACATCCCCAAACACTGACGTCTTACATATAAAGCTTATGTGTCGTGGATACACGTTCTAGTACTAAATGAGTACTAGGCAATTTCACAAGAGAATTCGACTATGCTTTACTATCCTCGTGTTTGAGCATCGATCCTCAGTGTATAACCTGTCACCCTCGAGAAAACTGTGAATTTGTCAGGGAGGTCAAAGTCTATCATTTTGACTGGTTCATTGCATCGAGTGTCAGAAAGTAAAACAGCTTTCGATTTCTGGGTTTCTATTCTCAGATAGTTGGTTGCAAGACGCTTTGCCACGCGTTCGCGTCGCACGAAAGAATTAGTAGTGAACGCGATGAAGCATAAAAGTTATTAAACTTTCCATGGAATATGAAAAAAACAGAGGGAAAGACATCTGATGCAGAACGAACATTCGAAGGAGTTCATTCATGAATTGAATCACGTTGAAAAAGACAGACGTAACGTTGATAGAGGACTGAATCAGCTTCATTTTAGTCACAGTAACCAAAACCCTAGGTAATACCTAGGGCTAGGGCCAACGTTTTGATCGTCTTGGAAGACGTTCTATAAAGCTAGGACGAATCGATGTAATAAAAGCTATCCCGGAAAATTCAGACGTGATCAACAAAACTTCATGGTTCGAATTCTTGATCGTGGGTAAAAATGAGCTAATTCCTTCAAACTGGATGAACCAGAATTCGATCTCGAACTAGATTTCCATTTTAACATTGCTACAATATTTGGAAAGATGCAATTTATCAGGAATACGGTTTGATCAATAAATATTTTCTCGCTGGTTTCCATTACTATAGAAAGGGAAATAGTACCTTGCGTTCATCAGCCAACTGTTTCGCTATGGGGACTTTGGAAGTGTACTCAGACCGAGCACGGTCGGCACGAAGCGTTTCGACGGTTTGTTCGAGCTGAGTCAGACGCTCTTCCGTTCGCTTCTGCTCCACGGTCACATCGATCTGACCAGCCAAATGCAAAAACACTTGACAGGTAGCAGCCAAAGCTACAGAAGCTGGGACG